CCGGACTGTGAGTGTGTCAGTCAATATGTTGTTTACTTAGTCAATCTAAGTAAATCTGCTCTGAACTCATACCTGTGGGCGCAACATTGATCCACTTGACCCAGGCGGCTTCCAGGTTTAATTGAAAAAGAATAGCTGAGACCTTTATGAATTAACTGCAGAAATCAATATCTGCAGAATGCTACCCTGTAAACTCTCTCCTTACATGCCAATAATGCCAGAGCAGCTAGCAGGCAGGTTGTTTGCAGTGCTTAGGAGAGTAAACAGATGGTTTCCTCTGCTGTCTGTTTTATTGTGTACTGTACAGGTGTACTGTGCTGTTTTATGCACTCAGATTGTTAGTGAGTGCAAAGGCTGTCATCTGTTCCTCTCTTTTGTTTTATGTTATTGAATGACAACAGGTGGCAAACATCCCACTGTAATGCTTCAACATAAATCTTCTGCAGATAAACCTCTCAGTCTCATGCTAAGTCTGCTGTATTTACATGGGAAAGTTAAAGGAATAGTTCATCCCAAATTGAAAATTTGCTGAAAATGTACTCACTCTCAGGCCATCCAAGGTGTAGATGAGTTTGTTTCTTCATTGGAAAAGATTTGGAGAAATTTAGTCAAAATGAGAGTTCAAACAGCTGATAAAAACATCACAATAATCCACAAGTAATCCACACAATGCTGCATGTTGTAAGGAACAAATCCATCATTAAGATGTTTTAACTTCAGCTAAAATACATGTCCTCTATCCATTATATTGCTTTCTCCAGTGAAAAAGTAATCTTGTCTGAATCAGGAGAGAAATATGCACAGATCAAGGACTGTTTACAAGTGGAAAACAGTTATCTTATTCTGACTGCACCCTTTCACTGCAGTGGATCCATTGGTGAGCTAGTAATAAAAGGGCCTCAGGTGACCACCATGTGAACTGTTATGAAAATATGCTCTTAAGCAAAAATTTTCATTTTTGGGTGAACTATTTCTTTAAGGCTACTCTGTAAAGATGCATTGCTGCATAAATGCAGTAAGTGCAGCTGCGTCTCAAATACAGCATCTGTGCAGCATTTTATTATGATATTACATTTTATTCATCATTTTTGTATTTAAAATGATTTTTCAATTTCATAGCATTTTTCAGCCATGTTGCTTCAGATGCAGCTTTTGTGCACATAAATGATTGATTGATTGATTGACTGATAAAGATTAATCAGAAGATCAAGTTGTTATTTTCATAAAAAATGATGAGGTAAAAAATGAAACATGCATGAATAGTTCCCAATAAGATCAATAACATGCACTTAGAAAATATATAGGGTCACAGCAGTCACAGCATTCATGGAATGCACATTATTTACAATACAGTAGTTAGTTTTACACATTTTACAATGTTTACTCCAGTTCCACAGGTTTAGAATCCGTCTCTGCCTACTTAATTAACAATGTGATGTATATCTTTACATCTATCAATATCTTCATATATCTCTGTACAACACAGTGTTAGTATCTTTTATACTGCAGTAGATCAAACGACATGGGGTTTGCATGAAAACAACAGCTGTGATATGCCACCTAACCTAGTTAACGACAGGAAATTAGTGGGATGCGAGTGAATAGGTGTCAAGCGTTCAGGTGAAGGGTCCGTTTCTTAGAGGGTGGTTTGGAAAGCTTGTCTTTGTGGAGTGTCTGAAATGTCCTGAAGGGAATAAAGAGAGCCAGTCTGTCACACAGGGCTTGTAGATGCCTCAAGACCTATTAGTCGTTGGTGAATACTGGAATGGACCGACACACAAAAGAGTGGAAGCCTAAGTTTCATTCTTACTGTGAGAATGAGACCAAAACATAGCCATCTCACAGGCACTGCATGTGATAAAACACTACTAGAAGAATTCCAACACTGCAACATGCTCTAGCTTCTCTGCCTCAAACACGTATCATACAGTTTCAGATGAGCTTTACTCTGCAGGCCGGAGAGCTTCGATCTATTCAACTTGAAGACACGCTCAATATTCTGTATTTTTTCCATAGAAATAAATGAATTAGAATAATTCAGACTGATAATTCTAAAACGGAAAATACACATATATGCGCACATAGTGTATTATGTTAAATGAACACTATGTAAAATATGAAATATATCTTTGTTTTGTTTACCGAATATACAAGTGTTTTTCAAGCAACATAAATACATTTCCTACTTTTGTAACAAATATCGTTCTTCCGCGTTTTGGTTATTATAATTTTTTTGTAATTCTTTAAGATCGCCTTTTTGTCTGTGTCGCATAGAAGAATATTTCCTATTGGCGTTGTGTAATGCTCAGTTCCAAAACAATCATCGAATGTGCTCTGCCTTTCTAATACACCGCAGTGTGACGTGATCTTTCTGTCCTGATCAGAGCCCTATATAATGCACACACTCCACACCTTTACCACAGTGAAATTTGGTCATAAATCATTACTAATCCTATGGTTCTGATTATGATGAGTATTATAGTGAATCATTCCACAAGGATGGTGTGTTTTGGCAAGGTGAAATAAAGCCTTAAACGACTGCTGCAGAGCCGCTCCTGCTTTATTCTGCTCACAAGTTGCTGTTCCTCTGCAGTGGGTTGTTTAGGGGGTTGCTGGTGGTACCCATGCCCACTCTGGGTCATGGGGGGAAGCTACATGAGGCCAAGTAAGAGCCTCACGCCTCCCATTCGCCGGCTGGCAGCCCAGGAGGAGAGCACCGGATGCTGATGTCATCCATTTTGGCCCAGCTCTACCTCACCCACACCTCCGCTCCACCGTGCGGATACTCGACGGCAACCGTGTCACGTACAGAGCCGAGCTCGCTGAAATAGCGTGCGCCTCCTCCCAAAGCCTCCATGATATCATCGGGGAGCACTGGAGGACATTTTGTCGCAGCTCTTCTGGCGTAATGGCAGAGCGTAATTGAGGCACCTGTGGTAAAACCCAGCTTTGTGTGTCTGATGAATGGTTGGGCCTGCTGTCATTATCATGCCCCCCCCCCCCCCCCTCTCCCCCCTCTCTCTCTCTCTCTCTCTCTCTCTCTCTCTCTCTCTCTCTCTCTCTCTCTCTCTCTGTGTTTACATCCACCTATCCTCCTTTCTCCACTGTCGGCCCACTCTGAAGTAAGAATAGAGGACGAGATACTGAAAAACAAGTCTGATGCTCAACAGTGTGTATTCCCCGGGTGATTTATTCAATTTGAGAAAAATCTCAGAGAAGCAGTGAGAGCCGGTTCTTGGGGAAAGCGTCCAGTGACAGCACTTCTTCTCAGTGTGACAACAGAACAAGCGAGAGGCACAAACGACTGGCCAATTGATCACCAAGGGAGAACAAAAAAATTAAAATACACTCATAACATGACATAGCTGTGACTTTACCCACTTTTTCTTGGTCAAACATGGATGGCCTTTTAATCTCTTATTATGCTATATTATCATGAAATATTGTGTGTGTGTATATATATACAGTATATATATATAGTAATGCATTTGATTCAAGAGCAGAAAACCTCAAAGAATTGCATCTGTTTGAACTGTTCAATGATGAGTGATGAATGGACTATATCGTGCATGGCTGTACTGAATGATGCTGTATGTGAGACAATCTACAGTACTCATCAATTTAAGAGCTGTATGGGTGACAACTTCATCAGTTTGTTGTGACAACTGAAAAACATGCAACTTGCAACTGTGCATTCAGTACTTGCATTGCCCTCATCAAATATAAGAAATTGGGTGAAACAAGTCGCTTTCTATTGGCCCCCCCCCCCCCCCCCTTCCTCTATTACACCACCTTCTCCTACTCGCCAACTTTTGAAGCGGGATCCAAATGCAGGGGTTTTATTTTGTGCCGTCGTGTGCCATTCCCAGTGGGGTGTGTCAATCACATATCAATGAGGACAATGATGTGCTCAGTTTAGCCTTTTCACCTGTCTCCTCCACTTCACAAGCCCTCGCTCGACAAAAAAAAAGAAAAAGAGAAAGCACACATGCATATTTCGAGGTGTGGGCGTGTGCCAACGTGGGGTATCTGTTACAAGCATGCAGTCTCTTGCTCTTTTTTTCCCCTATTCAGCTGCAGCAGGCAGAGCTCTGACGGCATGCATTGTGTTTCGGGCTCGGCTGAATCGCGTGGGCTGGTGGCAGTATTGTCCTGCCGTACCTGCTGCCTACGCCTCTGGCAAGGACACTGGCAATATTAGATGTCTATTAGGTTACACCTTGCATGTTGCCATGTAATTGGAGCCTATTCGTTTATGCACATTGGAGACACATGTTATTAAGAGGAGCCGGAGCTGCGTTTTGCCTTCACAAAAGTCCTAGTAATCTGTGCTGGTTCAAGGCCAAACGTCAGCTCAGCATGGGAAGCTTCTCTCATATTTGTAGAACAAAACAGGCCATTTTGTTTGTGCTTGAGGATGTGTAAAAAAATTCACATCGTTTCATTTTTACTGCATCTTGTTATGCAGCAGCATTCCTTTAAAAATAAAATATAATAAATAATAATGCACAATAATTTTAGGTTTTAATATCTTCATGCAACACGTTTTTTTTAAATGTTTCAAAATGAAGGACCACCCCTAAATTAGCAAAATATTATAGGTGTTTAGATGACTATGGTGCTGGAAATGTGGAGTATATGTCATGGGAAAGTGTAGACATGCATATTATTGTTTTGCATTGTGCATCCTGCAGAAAGCCTTTTAAATTTCCACATCATCAGATAAACATGGACCCTCTACAACTGAATGATAGTTGAAGCTGCCATGTGAATAATGCTGGTAATTTATACAGAAACTTTTAATTAGGTTTTATCAGGAGTTGCATGAGACATTTAAATGCAGCTTTTCATGATTATAATTGTGAAAGTGTACTGAATTGTTTTGTTAAATTATATATTTTTATGCTTTTGTGTTTTATGCATAAGAAAAAATCTCACACTAGATTGACTGAGACATCTGTGGATTCGTTTGTAATTTGATGCTTTTCTATTTTGACAACTAGTGTGCACTAGACGGCAGAGTAACCCTATGGACTACATTACCCACAAGGCATCATGCAGTCTGTGCTGGTTTCCCTAAATACAGAAAGAGTCCGACCCGGAGAACCTGTCTGGACGATTGAGGTCTGAGGAGATACCAGAAGAAAACAACACCTCAGCAGACACACCACACCTCATCTGCTCGTCTTCTCAAGTCGATCCATTCCAGGAAACGTGGAAGAAGTACTTTTATTGTCGCCTGACAGAGATTGGATTGTTGTGCAATGTCATTGGCCTTATGACTGTTATTTAAGACTGTTCTCCTCCTAACTCCCTCTCCTCTTTTAGGATATTTTTTGTTTGTCGCTGCGTTGACGATCTCACCTCTTCTCTGGTATCTCTGGGCATATACTGTGGGATGTACTTTGGATATACTGACCTTTGAACCAAAGCTAATTCAATGATTTCCTTCTGTTCAGGATAATAACCCCAAATCTCCAGCACTTTTAAAATGAATTTCTTCAGATTCCCAGTCCAGTTGCAGCTGCTGATCAGTACTGTTCTTGGGCCCTGCTTGGGCCTGGAGTTTACAGGGTCGCAAGGCCAATGGGCACGCTATCTCCGCTGGGACGCCAGCACCAGAAGTGACCTCAGCTTCCAGTTCAAAACAGACGTGCCCACTGCCTTAATCCTGTACTTTGATGATGGCGGCTTCTGCGACTTCCTGCAACTCATGGTGGTCGAAGGGAAGCTCCAGTTGCAGTTCAGCATTGATTGCGCCGAGACCACAGTTGTATTGGACAAGCAAGTCAATGACAGCAGCTGGCATTCTGCCACCCTGAGCAGGTACAACCTGAGAACTGTGCTGGTTCTGGATGGAGTGAGCAAATCAAGCGAGGTGCGGCCACAGAGGCAGTACATGAAGATCGTTAGTGACCTCTTCCTGGGCGGAGTCCCTCAAGATATTCGTATTTCTGTGCTCACTCTCCCGACAGTGAAGGATCTTCCGGCGTTTAAGGGAATTATCAGGGAACTGAAGTACAATAACAAGGAACCTATTCTACTAAGTAGCCAGAGGGTTCGCATGGACATAGAGGGGATCTGCATGGAGAACCCATGCGAGAACGGAGGAACGTGCTCTGTTGTGGATGGGGAACCACTTTGTGATTGTTCTAAGACGGAATATGTGGGCCGATTCTGCAATGAAGGTAAAACGGTTTATATTTTACATCTTGATAAAGAGCAAATTAAATATTGACTTTGTAATGTGTATACAATGTATATTTTTTTCCCCCAAACGTTTATTGGCACCCATCTAATTCTACTCGAAATTGTCAGTGTTAACTGCTGAAATGTGAATAATGTTTCCTAGAATCCTTCATGCCACTGAAGTTTGACTCTAAGGTCCAGGTTAATGGCGTCTCTTAGCTTGTCTACAGAAAGCTGCCCTGTTTTCTGCATTGGCAGGCGTTTTGTGCTGGAAATTTCTCAATCAGCTTCATAAAACCCTCCTCTATTCCCCCATCGCTTCTTACGGTCAATTGAAAGTGAATGCACTACTAGCAAAGCCTGCTTTTTACCTCTGTAAAGCATAAAAGCTGTTTGTCTCTGGCAAGCGTTTGTGTGTGTGTGTGTGTTAATCGTGCCCGGCTGAGGAGGTGGGGTGTTAGGATGTTAAGGTGCCTTTTAAGATCCCTTGGTTGTTTTCCTGAAGTGGCCATTTTAGTTTCTCTGGGGATTTGAGGAGGCCATTTCACAGCTCTGGGTTTTGTTGTTGCACCTCTTCAACAGAGAATGAATCGTAGATGGGGGATAATTGCCAATTTTAAACATGTCAATTGCAATTCTTTATAGCGACATTACTAGTTTTCCTAGAAAGAAAATTTTATGACCCTGGTTACTGAAATGTGCTCATTCATATACAGATCTGCTGGTTTGTGCACATTTATTTTGAAAGTATAATCATAATTAAATTAATTTTGTTATACCCCAGTTGAAAATCACAACTTTGAGTTCTTTCTCATGAAACATGTTTTAGATCCTGGTAGATGATCCTGATGAATGAAAGGTACAACATGTGTTTATATATATATATATATATATATATGTATATATGTTTCTCTGCTTCTTTTGATAATTTTTGCTTTAAATATATCCTCTTATATGCTTTATTGTAATAAAAACAATAAGGGTTATCTTTACCTGATAAATAATAAATAATGAATTTTAATGAACAAGAAAACAATTACAGAAACTAATGTGCATATATCCTGTCTTGATTGCACCTCAACTTTTCCCCCCTTTTGACTGGAGTGTTTAAGCTGGGTGATTGATTGGTGATCAGTGCTCAGAGCCCTTTGAGTTGTTACTCTCATTGTAGACACAACCTCTCCTGTGATTCTCTCCTTAATTACACAATTACTGAATGTGATTAAAAGGTTAAAGCCAGGATGCTATCTGTGTACTCATGTATTTTATACAGAATTGAATGTGTATGCATGTACAGCCTGTTTCAGAGCGCAAGAAAGTGAAAATGAGAGAAAGAGGGATGTGTACACTCTTAAAAATAAAGGTGCTTCAAAAGGTTCTGCCATAGAAGAACCATTTTTGGTTCCACAAAGAACCATTCAGTCAAAGGTTCTTTAAATAACCATCTCTTTCTTACCTTTTTGTAATCTGAAGAACCTTATTTCGCCACAAAGAACCTTTTGTGAAACAGAAAGGTTCTTCAGATGTTAAAGGTTCTTTATGGAACCATTTAGACAAAAAGATTATTCTATGGCATCGTGAAGCACCTTTATTTTTAAGAGTGTAGAAGACTGGGCACTAGGGTTAGATTTATTGGTTGTAAAGTGAACAGAGTTTTGGGCTTGATTTACAGCCGTTGTTCCTCTCCATCTTGTTTGGCTGACTGGGTCCTGCAGTCCACTGATAGGGGCTAAAGCCAGACGTAAAAGCAGCTTTGATGGCTTTGAATGCTGGGAATCAGTTCAGCCAATCATAAAAGAATAAATAAAACGTTTTTGGAGGCCATTTATACTGGTGCACAGGGGCAGCCTGAACTTAAAGGCACTGTAAAACTACAGCTGAACTTTCTCCGCTGGCATCTCTTACAAATCCAAATTAAAACCAATATTGTGAATGACACATTAATGGGTGACATCAGTGTTTGATAACAACTTTACAAAAATCCACTGAGCAATCTTAATTCCATCTTAATCTTGTGTCTTCAGGCTTTTGAAACATCTGTACGTGGGTAATAAATATCAGGTCGGAGCCATATGGCAAGCTGGTCTGAAGTGTTGAGCATTAGCCTTACGCACGTTTGACTGAATCCAATTGCCATAGCAGCGGCAACAACAATCTGACACTCCTCTCGATGGCCAGATGGCTAAAATGGCCTCAGAACTGTTTTGCGTTACCGTGGCGTATGTTCCTTCGCTCTGTGAAAGTCGTGATAGCAACGGCGCTACATCATTTGCGAAAGCGCGTAATCTTTTGGCGGATTAGAATAATAAACATTTGGCAGCCAAACAAACACTCAATCTGTCTTCCCATGCGGATGGTCTCTGAATTGGTACGCTGAGGTTTATGTTTAAGCCAACCACTCTTTACAAATCTCCTCTTGTTTTTTAAAGGGGGGGTACAATGCTGTTTCATGCATTCAGAGTTGTTTACACTGTTAAAGAGTTGGATTCTCATGCTAAGCATGGACAAAATTTTTAAAAACTATTTGTATTTCTGTGCTAAAAATCTTACCTCTGGGTTCGTACAAGTTTCAGAGAGTTTTTTTTTTCGATCGTGGCTCTTCATGACGTAGATGCGGGTGGAACTCCTTATATGGGCATTTCTCCCGGAAGAGCGCGCCCACGCACACATCGACCAGAGCGAGAGCAAGAGTACTGTATCTTTCTTTTATAAATATGATAAAACTAAAGACTTTTTGGAGATATGAAGGATGGAGATAGACTACTCTATAGGTACTCAAGATTAACATGAGATTGGGTGAAACTGTGTGTGTTATGTCCCCTTTAATGAAAACACAGCAAATTTAAAAGTGTATTACGAGGATATATAGAACTCAATATATAGGACTCCTTATTGCAGGGATCATTACAGTTTGTTGTGGATCTAGATTAAATTAGTAAAACACTCTTCACTTGTTGCTGTTGAGAATTTAAGGAAAAGATCTTCTGATGTGCCACAAATAAACATTCATTTCTGATTCACCACTGTTTCTGAGAATCTAGGTCATCGTAGAAGGCTGACAGTGCATGTAGACATTCATATTCCAGCCAGAACTTCAGTACAGGTCAACTCAAGAGCTGAACACATCAATCGAGTCACCATGGCTCTTACATCCCGAGTGTAACTCAGCATTCCCCACTCTCCAATCACATCCTAATACTTTCCACACCAGGTTAATGCATCTCATCAGAGGACTTAATGTCCTGTACCAGTCTTTAACAAGCACGGCAGACAGACACTCACTTACACATTGGAACATGTCCCGAAAATGAGTGACCATGAGAGACAACATATTGCATTTTCAGCCAGTACAGACATCAACACATACAGGACTAAATTAATGTCTAATGTAGCTATAATTGCTCTGCACTAAAAGCATTTCATGGAGGCAGACCCCATCAGGTTTCCCTTAATATCCTGTATTAGATGCAGTTTGTGTGCACTGGCAACAGATAAATTGGTTCATTCGGCCTGTCGGTGTCTGGTACTAAAAAATCTACAGTAAAATCTGCAATTATTTGGAGTAATATGAAATAATTTATTGTAATAATCTGAATAATCTCAAAGTTAGCTAAATATTAATTTTAAAGTTAAAGTTAGTTTAGTAGTTTAAAGTTAATTATTAAAGTTGTGGAGTTGGGGGAGTTGTGGCCTAATGGTTAGCGAGTCAGACTCGTAACCCAAAGGTTGCGGGTTCGAGTCTCGAGTCCCCTGTTTGAACCCCACTCCACTATTAAAACTAGAGTATTTACTCAATCTAAAGGGTTTTAAAATAACCTTTAAAAATGTATATATGTAATTTTGTCTTTTTTTTTTTTGTCAAATAAATAAATTACTTTTTTAAAGCCTAAATGCTACATAATGGCTGTATTTTAAGAGATTTTTTTGCCATGTTTAACAGCTTAAGTTGAACACAAAAGCACCACGCCTAATTTATATCAAAGCTTGATAATTGCTGAACCATCCCTAGCCAAAACAGATTAGAAAAATAGTAGATTAGCTGTTATTCATCACACAGAGCATTGCAATGCCCGTTTATCAGTGTTGGATGCCCTTTGGTTTGGGAGACGACCAGAGTGCATTAATGAAATAAGTCAGCCCAGTGCTTCAGTGCCAAAGGCGGCCTGTGACACAAAGAGAGAGAGAGTGTGTCTACAATGAGAGTAAACGCTACCGGGCTCTGAGTATGGAACAGTGCTTTTGACAAACATCAGCGTGCCGTAAATCCACAACCCTCTCTAAAGGGAGCAGGTTCTGTTGCCTGTTTGGATTTATGACCCAGGCGTGGATGTGGGCTCTGGGAGTGTGTGTAAGTCTTGGAAGATGAACTAAACTTCTTAGATGTTGGTGTGCCGTGGTGTTCATACACCACAGATCTGATCCCCCTCCTCATTTCCCAGGGAGAAGAGGGAGTGGATGGATGGATGCAAGGGGCATTTTAAGGGTTTCTGTGTACATGCACGGGGCAGATGTCTGCTCGGTGCATGCTGGCAGGTGTGTCAGAGTTTGCATGATAGTTTTCATGCAAAGGAAATATGAGTGGGCTCTAATGGCTGCTATGTTTCTCTCCTCTTTTTTTTTTCTTTTTCCATTTTGTCGTCTTTGCTGCAACACCACCAGAGGCCAACAGCATCCCAGGTGAGTTGATAATATCCTTAAGGCTGTATTGAAGCGGTCTTTTACAGGCAGTGAAAGCGTTAATGGTGTAGAGTACACGAGTATTCAAATGTACAGGAACATAAACAGATATTTTCAAATATAACATAATCTCAGAATTATCATAATAAAAAATACATAAAGTTGTGATGAAGCAGAAGTAGGGATAGATATATATAAAAAAAAATGTAAATGAAAGAACTGTTCACAATAAGATCTATAATATGCATTTGGAAAAATAAAATTTGACTTTAATCACTACATTAATCATTAAAATCAACATACTTTGTCACATTTATATTAAACAACAAATAAAATGCACCACACTGTAAACATTTTTTTTTCAAAGTTGTAGACAAAACAAAGATTATTGGAGTATGTTTTACGAGGAAATACCATTTCAGCCTTTCTACTTCAAAATTTCACATTTAATTAAATGTTACTTGCCATTTATTTGTAATTAATTGTCAAATTTAGCTGTTTCTAAGTGGAAAAAAAAATTCTACACCAGTTTTTGACTATATTTGGCTATAGGTGACTATATTCCTAATATATTTACAACATATCTTATTTAAGTTCACTCTACAACCAAAAATTTATTGAGCCGTAACATTAGATAAAAATGACACTTCGTGTCAACTTATAAAAACTTAAAAATTAAGATGTTCATAAATCTTTTCTTCTGCAAAGATGTGATATCATCGTATGATCTGATACATACCTAAAGATGTTCTCCTCTTTCTGTCATTTTCTCTGTTTCTCAAAGGATTTGCACACATGATGGCAGATCAAGGTATGCCACACCCCTTCACTTGTATTCACTCTGTTGACGCGATTGATTATATTTTGCATGCCTGAATTGACTGAATTGCTGTGCACTGACTGGGCTAAACTGTAACTCTGAACCTTGAATGCATAGATGTGAACTGTGCTTTGATTGTTTCTTCATATCTCTCCATGCTTACCTTCTGTGGATACTCTTGATCTCTCTGTTGTCTTTCATCTCCTTTCTCAAGCCAAGGGCAAAGGTACAGAACCGTTTTCTTCCTCAAGTTCTGCTCTCTTATGTTTGCATTCTTGTTATTAGCACTTTTTTGCTAATAGCTGCTCGCTATGGGTGACTGGATCTAGAGTATAAATAAATGAGAGTTAATTGAAGACAAACACAAAGGTATTTTGACTGCAGCATGAGTGGTCTGAACTGTGGTGTCTGCCTCCCTGGTGGTCTTATACCCAGTAGATATTTGTCTCAGCTGCTAAAATGCTTAAACGGCACAGTATGACTCGGTCTCATGAGGGTTTGTCTAGCTTGAGACCATGAATGATGCTTTATTTGCCATGCAGTGTTTGTTGTAGTTTGGATCTTGCATGTGGATTTTTGAGAAATGTTGTGTTTGTGTTCAGTCAGGTGCCACAATGACTTCCTCCATGTTTTTTTTGAAAGAAAGAAAGTAAGAAAGGACTGTGATATTTCAGTCTGTCAGTACATGTGTGATGTCACGTCATTTCATAGCTGGCTTCTCTAGTGAGGCTTGTAGATGGACCCGATTTAGCCTTGACTTGCTGCTGGGCTGAGCATCCCTGTGGAACGCTGTTGTACCACATGCCATCCTGCTGTTTCACCCGATCCAATATTTCAGCATGTCTCGGAGTGGCCAAATAACTTCATTCTTCAATAGTCAAGGCCTGGAATTGGCTTGATTCTTTGCAGGACCTCAGTGCATCCACCAATGTGCAATCACACACAGTATAGCTGAATTATTTAAGTTCTCAGGTTTTCAGGGTGGTTGCCAAATGTTTCTCTTTGCTTGTAGAGTCTCCCTTTCCCCCCACAATAGAGATTTTAGTGCAGACCTGAGTACTTTTAGCTTCAGATTTGTTTTGTTGGTGCAGCATTCTTTGTGTGAAAACTTGTGAATATGCTTGTTTTTTAGGGATTGATCAGTTGGTAATGTGCGATTATGAAAAGGTAATAAATGCAGACTTTTCAACTTTAAAACATTTAATTTTTAATATTTTTATTTTTTAAAACAACATTTTGGGCATATGCACATCTAATTTATTTGTCAACTGACAAAATTATCAAAATTCCTTTCCCTAGTACAGTTCTGGTGGACTTCAGATTGATTTGCAGTTGGTTTGAAAGCAGTCCATTCTAATAGACCTTAATCAGGTTAGATGCCATATTGAATTTTACGCAGATGAAAACAAGACTGTGAGGAACATACTTGCACACACTGTATGTATATATATATATATATTGATACATGATATATTTGAATTGATCAATCAAACCAGGTGTGAAAACACGCAAATTCATTGGACATTAGAAATGCATAGTACAGTATAAAGGGTGTGGCTTTCTGTTTCATGAATGCTGATATGAACTAAAATGAATCCAGGCATATGCTGCAATTCCACGTGCCAACCTAGTTTCTTCCCTCAACCCAATTTAAGTGCTAATTCAGAGCCCAGTCAGCGAGAACCTGGCAGACCGACAGTACAGCATAGCCAGTCAGATGCATTAGCACGTATTTGCCTGCGTTGCATCAAAAGCATTTGTATTATAGCTCTGTCTCCAACACTGTCTGTCTCTCCTGGTACTGCCCTGTGTTAAATCCCTCTGCTAGATGGAGGGACATTATTACAAATCAGCCTGGCTGTACGCCCAATTTAAGACGACAAGGGCTTCCATTTAGGAGCCTATTTGCATCTCCAACCTGCTGAACGATAGTACAAAATGTTTATTTATCTGCATTTGTTTCCATCGCCGCATCTCTTCCTTTCACCTGTCATCGCAGCTCGAGTTTGTACAGCACATAAATCTCGAAATGTTCCTCTAATTTTTTTAACCTTTCCTCAGAAACCTCTTGCAGTTATACCTTAGGAAGGTTCCTAATTGTAGTGCTTTGTAATAATTGACAGTGTTGCTTCTGCAGTACCACAAAGAGAGGAAGTGAGAGGCAACAGCTGTTTTTGGGTAGCCCAGGGCTTGTCATTCATGTCTGCGTATCTCAGGGCTTTCGGACGCCATTCCTCGGCACCCCGTCTGAAGTCAATCATATCAGTCAGCACCCTGTTCTCCTCTCTGGCACAGGCATATGTCAGCAAACAACAAAGTCAGAAGACAAAGATGAAGAAGGGTCTTTTGGGACTTCCTGTCTCTCATTGTTTTTGATTCTGTCCTCTTTCCTTTCATCTGTTAGTTTATCTGTGATGCAACTTCCTTTTTATTTCCCCAGATGAACCTTTTGGTGCTGAGAGGTTGTGCTTTCATAACTTAGGAGACATCATGTAGTTCTCATTTGTTTTTCTTTGAAGAATCAGCTTTGTCTAAGATTATTTCTAGAAATAGACACAAATAAGACAATTGTTACAGAATAGTATAGAACTATAAAATTAATATGAATGGCAAGCTTAGATAATTTGGTCTAAAAAGAGTTTGCTGAGAAATATTTGAGGTGGTATTGAAACTAGGGATGTCCCGATCAGGTTTTTTTGTGCCCCTGATGATCCGATCTGTGTCATGTAATATTGAGTATCTGCCGATACAGAGTCCTGATTCGATACTTGTGTATTCTTATATAGGAATGCATGTTTGGTGCGCACTTAAAGTACTTTAAAGTTATTAAAATCAATTCAATGCTTACAGAGTTGTGCAGAGAGTAAAATAAATATATGTATGATGCATGTTTATATATATATATTACAAGATACACTCTCTCTCTCTCTCTCTCTCTCTATGTATATATGCACACTGTATACAAACATTGGTAGATGCAAACATGTTACAATGGTAGACAATGTAAAGAGACTTTGTGATCACAATTATGAATATGTGACTACTGATATAAACTTGCATTTTATATGTACAGTGGCATGCAAAAGTTTGGTAACCCCTTGCAGAATCTGTGAATTTGAACAAAATTAGAGAGATCATACAAAATGCATGTTATTTTTTATTACTGTCCTGAGTAAGATATTTTACATAAAAGATGTCTACATATAGTCCACAAGAAATAAATAGCTGAAATTATTAAAATAACCCCATTCAAAAGTTTGGGAACCCTTGGTTCTTAATACTGTGTGTGGTTACCTGAATGATCTACCACTGTTTTTTGTTTTGTGATGGTTGTTCATGAGTCCCTTGTTTGTTCTGAACAGTTAAACTGAGCACTGTTTTTCAGAAAAATCATCCGGGTCCTGCAGATTCTTCAGTTTTCCGGCATCTTTTGCATATTTGAACCCTTTCCAGCAGTGACTGTATGATTTTGAGATCCATCTTTTTACACTGAGGACAATTGAGGGACTCAAACACAACTATTCAAAAATGTTTAAACATTCACTGATGCTCCAGAAGGAAACACGATGCATAAAGAGCCTCGTGATAAATAAATAAAACTTTTGAACAGGATGAAGACGCAACCCATAGTTGGGAACCCCTTGCAGAATCTGTGAAAATGTGAATAATTTTAACAAAATAAGAGAGATCATACAAAATGCATGTTATTTTTTATTTAGTACTGTCTTGAGTAAGATATTTTACATAAAAGATGTCTACATATAGTCCACAAGAAATAAATAGCTGAAATTATTAAAATAACCCCATTCAAAAGTTTGGGAACCCTTGGTTCTTAATACTGTGTGTGGTTACCTGAATGATCTACCACTGTTTTTTGTTTTGTGATGGTTGTTCATGAGTCCCTTGTTTGTTCTGAACAGTTAAACTGAGCACTGTTTTTCAGAAAAATCATCCGGGTCCTGCAGATTCTTCAGTTTTCCGGCATCTTTTGCATATTTGAACCCTTTCCAGCAGTGACTGTATGATTTTGAGATCCATCTTTTTACACTGAGGACAATTGAGGGACTCAAACACAACTATTCAAAAATGTTTAAACATTCACTGATGCTCCAGAAGGAAACACGATGCATAAAGAGCCTCGTGATAAATAAATAAAACTTTTGAACAGGATGAAGACGCAACCCATAGCAACGCGTTACGACAACGACGTCTCAAAGTCTGACGGCAGATAAAAGTAAACGATAAATGAATGAGTGATCATTACAAAAGTGCACATCAAATACACTGAACACGGAAGCTCAAACGCGAACAGACCTTACTCACGAAGCACACACGCACATTTTAGCGTCTTCTTTTTCAATGGCGGTGGACAAACCCACTTAAAGGCGCATACCGCCTCCTACTGCACGTCACCGGCATGACAGCTGACGTAAAATAACTATCGGGCTTAGGAGAGCTGATACCGATCCTTGAGATCGGCTCGGGACATCCCTAATTGAAACTAGGGCTGGACAATAATTCAATATCAATATGTATCGCGATATAATTTTTTTCAATAACGGTGATATGATTTTTAAACACACTTCCGATATTTCGATATACATTACCAGTTTCCCATACATTGATTTATTTGTGCCGTTTGACTTCGTTGAATAAACATGAGCACTGCACATTTCAAAATCATAACACGGCGCGGGTGTTTTATATGAATGTATCTCTGAAGGGAATTGACTGTCTTCAGAAAAGTTTCGATGGCATATTCATTTGATCTGATAAAGTAGCATTCATGAGCGGAGCTGCTTTGATTACAGCCATTACTGGGGAAAGCACTAGTTTTATCACTCTAAAAGCGCCTCCTGCTCGCAAAATGAGTTTTCATTTTAAATAAGCCTGTCTCCAGCAACGTTTCCAGTTTTTGTTGTTGTTCAATTTTTTTGTTTTCTGCAGCGACTCGGAGCACTTTTCATACCCTTTTTTCTGGCTGAAGCACATTTGTTTCAATCTATAAGAATAATCAGCCTACACTACCAGTCAAACGTTTTTGAACAGTAAGATTTTTTTATGCTGTTTTTTTAATATATATTTTAAGAATTCTCTTCTGCTCACCAAGGCTGCATTTATTTGATCCAAAGTACAGTAAAATGTTGAAATATTTTTACTATTTAAAATTGCTTTCTATTTGAATAGATTTTAAAATATAATTTATTCCTGTGATCATACATAGGTAAATTTTCAGCATCATTACTCCAGTCTTCAGTGTCACATGATCCTTCAGAAATCATTCTAATATGCTTATTTGCTGATTATCAATATTTAAAACAGTTGAGTAAATTTTTTTTTCAGGATTCTTTGATGAATGGAAAGATCCAAAGATCAGCATTTATCTGAAATAAAAAGCTTTTGTAACATTATACACTTCCATTCAGTATCATTTTTATTATTTTTTTGGGAAAGAAATTATAGAAATTAATACTTTTATTTAGCAAGGATGCTTAAAATTGATCAAAAGTGATGATAAAGGCATTTATAATGTTACAAAAAGATTTCTGTTTCAGATAAATAGTGTTCATATCGATATCGAAATTAAGAAATATATCGTGATATCAATTTGGGCCATATCGTCCAGCCCTAATTGAAACTGGGATGTTTGATTGCAGACTTTGGTATCTTGGAAACTTTGACCACAGTTTGTTACATTTGTTATCTTTTCTGAAACTCTAGAGGGGAATTGCTTGAGATTATTATGGAGTTCTCATTTATGTCTCACTGAAGTAAGTAAAATGTGTATTGCATAGCATAGCATATTGAAAGAAGTATTTCAAGAGTTCATATTAAGTTTCTGATATTGTTGAGATCTCGTGTAACTCCAGATGAGATTATTAGGGTCTTTAAAATAGGTCCTGTTGCTCAGAGGTTGCTTTTTTTCATAGCCTTAGACGTCATAAGGCATAAGAGTTCTCATTTATGGCTCATTGAGCTATCAGCTTTGTTTCAAACATTTCTCCTAAAAATGTTTTGGACGAATAGATATAGATAAAGTTTTGAGACGGTTGTTGACAAAGGTTGAGTATATAGCTACTTATAAAATGATCTACAATTTATTGAGGAATACACTCAGACGATTGGTATTGTAATATTTAGTGAGAAATGTTTAAGTTCTTATTGAAACAAATTTAAATATCATTTTTGAGATTGTGAAGATCCTTCTATGGCTCTTCTAAGGAGATAGATGTGAGATTACTAAGATCTTTTTTTCTGGAGTAAAATATGAGAAACAGTTGACTGTACACTGAAAAAATGGTATAGTATTTTCTTTGAAACCGTTTTCCCTCAGAATTTGCTAGTAAAAAAATAAATAAAAATTAAACAAAATATTGTAAACAAATTTTACAAAAACGACAAGTAATATTGAATTAAATATGAAACTTAAATAGACTGAAATAGTACTTTCTTGTAAAATGGGCTCCAATAATCTGTGGTTTAATTAAAATTTCAAAAAAAATATATAAATTTTTTTTTTCACAATGTAGCAGAAGCCTCAATTTTTTCTCCTTTGAGCATCAATTGAGATCAGTTGTGATTTTACTTGTGCATACCTAATGGTAGTATGCTTTTGTATCTTTCCTTTGTCTGAGCTACAGCTGTAGAGGTTTTTATTAGCTTTTCTGATAGCACAGTAAATGTAAATGATTCTAATGGATTTTTTTTCCCATAATAGCTCTGACATAATGCAGTCTCTCTCACCTGTTCCTCTTTATCATATTACATCATTTGTAAAAAAAATAAATAAATAATAATAATTTTAGTGAAATGAAATCAGTACAAGTCTGCAAATATTTTCTGATTCACAAAGTGGTTAGATTGGTTACTGTGGCTCTGGTTCAGACCACCCAGAGATTTTGTAATGCATCCCGCAAATGTGCGAGTCTTTGATAGATATTAGTTGGTACAGGAGGCAGTAAATAAGTTGACCTTTTCGGACGGCAATGTAGAGTCTGAGCTTTGTTACAGGACAGAGGGGAGTAGAAACACTGTAGCTCACGCTATGCTGATGAACTCACATGCATGGTAATGAATTGCAGTGCCATTATGCAAATACTATGCTAATTATCTAATCAGATTTGATTCCATTAAGGATGTACCCAGCTTCCTAACCTTGAGAAGGCAGGGACTGATCTCTTCTCTTCTCTTCTCTTCTCTTCTCTTCTCTTCTCTTCTCTTCTCTTCTCTTCTCTTCTCTTCTCTTCTCTTCTCTTTTGATTTTATTTTCATTTCATTTATTTTCTTTATTTTTCTATCGTTTTCAAACCTTTTCTTTTTTTACTGCATTTTCTATTCTTTTTCTTATCCCTTTTCCTACCTTTTATTTTATTTCATTTTATTCAGACTTCTTTTAATTGCTTTTACGTTTCTGTTTCAAACTGAACTGAACCTTTCCAAACCAAACTGAACTAACATCTCTGACTGCTTAAAGGTTTAGGAATTTGAAACGAATTGTCCTGTTGTGATTTTTATTTTTAATTTTTTTCATATTTACACCTCACTTGCTGTAGTACAAAAGGCTTTGCCAGCCTATTCCTCTGACTGGGGTGTTTTTATGGCACCGTTCAGTATTATTTCTCCGTTACCACACATCTGAAGGCAGGTCTGCCCGACAGTGAGGTGACACATGGTGTGTGTGAGAGCTAGATAATGAAATCTTTATCACATGTTTGGGAGGCCTGTAATTCCATTTGCTCTACTAATCCTTCAGTCACTCTGTCTCTCTGTCACTCACTGAACAAACCTGTCTAACCAGAATTCCCCTTCCATTCATCTACAGTTTACACTCTTTTTAATGGCACCAGTGTAATGAGCCTAAATAAGCCTACTTTCAAAATAGACCCTAATTACTTTCTTAATAAAAGTAGGTTACAAATGTTGTCTCTAAGTAAATATGTTTTTGAAGGAGAGATAAAGCATGAGTCCTCTGTTCAGTAAGAATATTTAGGGAAACATGCCAGTCTGATGTTACTTGCAGAGTTGTGTTTTGTATTTCATGTTGTCCATAATTTGTATATATATATATATATATATTTTTTTTTTTTGATGCCATGCACTGAAGACTCCTCGGGTCTCATCAGTGCTGGAAGAGCTCTTAGGAAAGCCTGATTGAGCCACCTTGCTGACTGTCTGCTGCTCAGAGAGCGATGGCCTCTCTTGTGTAATCAGGACCAGCCGCACAGGGCGTCCTTTAACAAAATAGCCTCATCACCTCCCCCTCTCCATACGCTGTAACCGAGACAACAGAACTCCTCACCATCCCCCTCCCCACGGCACTCTATTTCCAAATCCCAAAGGCTCTTTTCAGCGTAACACCGAAAAAACATCAATCACACCCGATACGCCCACATGTACACTAGGGTTGGGTATCGTTTGGGTTTTTTTCGATAAAGGTGCCAAATCAATACTTTTAAAACGGTTCCGGTGCCTAAACCGATACTTAAAATAAATAAATAAATAAATAAATAAATAAATAAAAAGTCCCCAAAAAATGATGGATTGGCTATTAGCACTATAAACACATGATGTCTGTTTCATTCATACTGGATGCCAGAGGGCGCCCTCGCACAGAAAATTCACATACCACAGAAGAAGCAGAACTCATTCCCTCCAGGAAATCCCTTATATGGACAAAGGCATGGCTATTATAGCTGTAACTGAGTAAACATAACATATAAACGTTTTGAATGATAAAACAAAGACAATGAACACTCGACTGCGACAATATAGTTTATCTGTGTTATTCAAGCCATCTCTGGTATTTTCATAATAATTAAGTATATTTATAATCCAATGCTAATCGATGTTTTCTTTTTAAAGTAGCTTATAGAACATATTTTCTGCCTCCTCTGTGACAAGAAGCCACAAGAAGCATTTGACTGGTGTTGTGGAGTAAAAAGGTTATAATGTTCTCTTTTGTTGGATAACAAGTTTAGAAATGTGAATACAAGGGACGTTTAGCTTTAGGCATTTTAATTTAAGCATGTTTAGCTTAGTTAACGGAAGGCTACCTGCTGCCATCAGAGCAAGTGTAATTACTGCATTCACGCGCTCCTCGGATGCTCTCAT